TGGGGGCTCCCGGAACTCGGCAGAAATTCCAACTCGGGGGGCAGGAGGCACTGCGGAGTGGTGGGGTGCGGCCCAAGGGGGTGGGAGAGGGTCCGGCCCATGCTGTGCCTAGGCTGGGACTGGTCCCACCGGTGCACGGTAGCAGCAAGCTCTCCACATACCCACCGGACCCAGGCCAGGACTCTAATTTACAGCTTTGATAGTATCTGTATACTATATTTTTTAATTACTCACATTACTACCACCAAATAATGAAGTGGGGGATTGGTGTAGACATAAACATATTTTGATCATTGGGTAATCCCATCATCAGCTTGGCCTTCTTCTTCCCTCCCCCTGACACTTCAAAGCTATAACTTCTACTCTCCTGTCATCTCACCCATAAGTAATTAATTAGGTATCTTACATAAGAGAAAACTTGTGAATTTTAACTTCCTGGGTCTGACTTGTTTTATTTAACTTGATAGTCTCCAGGGTCCTGTACCTTTTTGCAAATGACAAGATTTCATTCTTCATGGTTGAATACTAACCCACTGTGTATCATGCCTAGCGTTCTTCATTCTTCCAACCACCAATGGGCATCTAACCTACTTCCTCATTCTGCTAATGGGACTTCCTCTGCCACATACACAGGTATGTGTCACAATAGGACGCTGTCTTTTATTCTTTGGGACACATATCCGGAAGAGTTATAGCTGGATCAAATGGTTTTTATATTTTAGTTTTTGAAGATTGTCTATACTTATTTTTACAGGGGCTGCAGAGATAGCTCAGTGGCATAAGCGCCTGTCTGGCAAGCACAAGGTCCTAAGCTAGATCCTCAATACCAAAAAAACGAAAAAAAAAGTTTATATTTATTTTTGTAGTGGTTGTACAATTTTGCATCACCACCAAGTGTGTAGGACAGTTTCTTTTTCCCTACATCCTCACTAGAATTCATAGCATTTTTGTATTTCAATGATATCATTAATATGCTGAATTTTAATTGTTCAGTTCAGTCAGAAAACAAGCTGCAGTTCAGGCTGGGGAATGCTTTGAACAGGTCAGAATCACAATGAATAAATCAGCTCATTTGTTTACAATAATTTTAGTAACATTTTAATGAAACACAAGTACTCTTGCAATTCTATTATCAGACTGGAAGTGAGATAGTATATAATATTTAATTTGCTTACTTTCTTTGCTAAAATATTATTGAGTGTGAATTAATACTATACATGAACTTTTTTTTTTTCAGAACTGGGGATTGAACTCAGTCCCTTGTGCCAGGGAAGCACTTATTCTATGGAGCCATCTCCCTTGCCCACTATACATGAATTTGATCCTAGGTTTAAACAATTTACATGAACTTACTAGCAATCAGCAAACCTAGTATGTATTAAATTTCATGCTCATAGGTCTGCTGTGGCAGTGGTGTGAAATTTATTGTGAGAAACTCATTGGGGCCTGAAGAATTGCAACATGGGATGTGTCTTTCTGCACTGAGCCATAGGCTATCATTTCAAATTCTCACAGCTTTGTTTTCTGTTCTAGAAATGCTAGCTTTGAGATAATAGCAGTTTCCTGGATGATAAGAAATTTACTATTTAATTACATTGAATTATTTCCCCAGAAACATTTTCATAGATTCCATATGTAAAAGGCTCAGTATCAAAATAATGTAAGTGGATTTTTTGATACTTGTATATAGTAACAACTTCATTTTTCTTTTAGGGTCCTGGGAATTGAGCTCAGGACCTCATACTTGCTGGGCAGTTGCTGCACCACAGTTACATCCCTGGCCCTACACATGCTAACAACTTTTTATTATAAATAGTATATATGTAAGGGAGAGAGTAAAAATTGTACTTAAAAAGGTTCTGAAGAGTAGTGTTAGTTTTTTAAATGAAGATGTCCTGAAATTTGCTCAAATTCAGAAGACTGTCTAATTCCTAAAATACTTTGTCGAGTTATTCCATAACCCAGACACTGCCCGCCCCACTTACTGCACAGCCCGTCCTCGCAGTGGCTGGGGCAGCTGGCGCAGGGGTCCCCTTGCTTGTAAGGGGTGTAGAGCCTTTCCTCAAAGTTACCACTGAAATTTGAAAGGCAAAACATAAAATGTTATTTAAAAATTTCTATTCAGTTTATACTCATCAGCATATATATTTTTTTCAAAGAATTTTTAAATATCTAACATTTCCCAGATGTATTCAAATAACAACGTTATAGAAACTAGTATAACACTTCCTTATTATTATCATGAGTCATTATCATTTAATTATAAAAATTATTGATTGTAACAATGGGACAAGAGGTAACGCAGCTCTATTCTCTCATACAGAATGCGTGAAAAATAACGAAGATCAAAATAGGTGTAAAAGTTTTCTAGAAGTCCTTTCTTCCTTCCTTCCTTC